TACGAGAGCGTCATCACCAAGCTCAACAGCGCCATGACGATCCGCGATCACTTTATGAAGGCGAGCGAGCTCAGCACGACCGACCCGATGGCGTCGCACTTGCTCGGCCGCTTTACGCTTTGCATTTGCTCAACACATCGCTCATGCGTGAAATAGGGTGCTTCCGCGTCAGCTGTCGTGGGTCGAGCGTGCGGCGGCGCGTGGCCTCGCCGGCCACCTCGCGCCGCACTCGTCGTTCAAAGACGCGCTCGCCAACTTTCTCAAGTCGGAAGAGATGCGCCCGGGCCACCTCAAGATGAACACGTGGTACATTGTGCAGACGTACGTCAAGCTCAAGCAGAAGAAGGAGGCCAAGGAGTGGGCGGCCAAGGTCGTTGCGATGCCCAACCTCCTCGACGAAGACCACGACATTGATGCGCTCGCCAAGGCTTATTTGAACCACGACTGGCGCGGCCTAGCCAAGCATATAGTCAAGGTGGCGACACAATGAGAGGTTGAAGTATGTTTGACAGGCCGCCTCGTCGTTCCCAAGCCACCTGGTAGCCCACCAACGAGGTGTGTACACGCCCCATTTTCAAGGCGCAGCGTAGCCGACTCGTAATCTTGAGTGATGTGAAGAGTGGCAAGAGTATTTTGTTTCTTCGAGCACCAATAAAGATGCGTAATTGCCTGTTGCGCTCTGAGCGACGCGAACGTGAACCAACTCACAGGCGCAAAACCACCTGCAGCAAAGACCATTGCTGTCGAGTTGATGCGCTTGCGTGGTGAGTTCCATGAAGATTTGGAAGACTCTTGACGTAGCTTCCTGCATAGCAAGCAAATATGATGGAAAGCTTTGGACACAATGCCACCGAAGGAAGAAACCGGATAATGCACTCTTGCCAGCCCGCCAGCTCATATTCGTCCGGATACCGAAACCGAATCCAACGAGCCACGGCAATGACAGAGGACGTCAAGAAGTCGCGAACACGCGTCGCAAAGAAGAAGCGCTGCGTGGCCAAAAAGGCCAAGAGCAAGCCGTACGACGGAGCCAACAAGGAGAAGTTCGTGCCCAAGTCAAGAATACAAGATGAAGAACCGAGCGAAGATCGACATTTGGCGCGCGTCTGCGCTTGGCTTGCGCTGCAGATGGTAGAAGGTCCAGTCGCGGCAGTGCGTACACATGTCCGTGCTCTTGGCGGGCACGCACTTGTGTACGTTCGTCTGCGATTGGACCTACTACCGTCTCCACCGCAAGGCCAGGCGCCAACGCTCTCTCAGCGTCAACTTGTGGTTGTTGAATATTTTCCAGAATAAAGTGTAATGCAGTGTGTTCTATCTTGTGATTCGACTACCGAGTACTAGTACTACTGGTTTCTCATCGCTTTGTCCGCGCATCTGGTAGCGTCGTCCGTCGTGTCAAAGGGAGCTTGCAGCAGCGCCTATATTTATGTGTACATGCGATCGAGTGCATCAGGCCAACACCCAAGCAACAACCAAGCTTGCGTGTGCTGCGCGGATATGAGGAGCCGTGTTGGCTAATGCCTTGTCCTCCACACGCCCACGGTCCTGCATCATTGATAGTCAAGTGTCAACGACTACGATGTGAGGAGCTGCAGTCAGTTGACGAAACACACAAGGTTAATTGTATGTTGCCCTGTTAGCAATTTGCAATTCACGCAACGCACGGCTCCAAGCACTAGAATTGAGGACACGATCGACAGTGCACTCAATTTGCTACGTCGAGCGTCGCCTTGGCCTGGAGGTCCTCCTTCGTCTCGAGAAAGAGCAGCGGCGCCATGCCAAGCATGCAACCAATGACGACGCCGATCGTGCAGCCCGTGTAGTGCGCGACGCGCGTCACGCGCATGTCGAGCTGCTCCTTCAGCAGCTTGGGGTCGGCGAGGCCCATGCGAGCGGCGCAATCTTCAATGACGCCGCCGAGGCCAATGCCAGCGACATCACTAGCAACTCCATGAGCCATTCAGTATCGTTGCAATACCGGTGGTACCTGATTGTGTTGCCAATGCCGGCGGCAGCCATGGTCGAGATCCCGAGCGAGACGCCGAGCGTCGTGTCAATGTAGTCGCCGGCGATGATCAAGATGAAGTTGTCGACAAAGCCAAAACCAATGAACGGCACCATGCTGCGCACCATGACCTGGCGCAGCTGGGCCTTGGACGGCGGCGGCACCGCGACCGTGCTTGCGGGCAGCAGCGCCTGTATCCGCGCAACCGTGCCAGCGTCGATCGCCTGCGCCATGAGCGACAGCTCGTGGTCCGTGGCCTGGGCGAGGCGCTGCAGCACCGCTCGGTTCGCGTCCGCAGCGGACGTCGTCGAGGCCGCCCGCGCCAGGCGCGACGCGACCCCCGAAAGCCGTGGGTTCCGCCACAACATGGAAATGGCATGCGACATGAGATGCGCGCACCTCAGGTTCACGCGTGCCAGCTGTAAGGCAACGACGATGTAGCCTCTAATGCAGATCCGCTCACGCCCAAGCATGGAAAAGAGATGAAACGTCATGAGGTTGCAGCGGCGCGGTCTCTCCAAGAGCGCGTCGAGGCTTAACCAAGTGACGCGTCCTTGCATGGTGGCGTCTCGACACTCGACGAATGCCAGACGCGCGCATCTGGACGCGCATTGCGTAAACACTACCGGATAATGTGTATCCGGAATCAACCGTGAAACCGAAGTCCATGCTTGATGTTGGCCGGAGACCGCGGCCAGGACCGGGACTTGAACCAGCTCCGCGCCGCCCCAAAGGTACGCCCTCTGCGTAGCGCCACTCGTGTCATGGCTCGCCGTAGTCGCCAGGCAGCTCGGCCAAGGTCGTGCCCGTGGCGCCCAAGCGCGGCCTCTATGACGACATGGACGTCGACGAGGACGCAGACGGCTTTGTCGCGTCGTACGCCGCCTGCGACCAATCTCTCGATCGCTCACTGCCGCGTGTAGCACGCCAGTGCAAGGCTTCAACATGGCACCGCCATCCGACTGGGCGTCGCTGGACGCGGAGCTCGCGTCCGTGCTCGCCGACCCGACAACGACCAAGCAGCGACCGTCGGCCACCAAGGCCAGGAACGACGACGACGACGACGAAGATGCTGTCGACGGCTTTGTCAACGACAACCCCGACTATGTACGCCAGCGGCTCGAGAAGAAGGTGCAGCTTTACGCCGCCCACATTGAGGCCATGAAGAGTCGCATGGAGAAGTGGCAAGAGCACAAGGTGGCTTCCTCTCGCAACAACAGCTCATGACTATGGCGTAGAAAGCATTTGTGGCCCATATACACAAGCTGGAAGAGCGCTTGAAGGAGCAGACCGAGGCATTTGCCACGGCCGAGGCGGCCTGGGAAGACGAAGCGATGAGCCTCGCGAAAGCCCGCCGCACCAACAAGCCAAATTATGCACTTGGTGGCAGCGCAATGCAAGGCCAGCATCAACTGGATCGAGAGCGTTCGAAAGAAGCGGTGCGGCAGCTGCTGCATGGCGCCGCCGACGTGGCCGCGGACGACGACGACGACGACGATCTCGTCAACGCCACGGGGCGATCGTGGCACCAGCGTCTACTTGCAATCGCCCGGCGGCTTGTGCCACTCAGCCACGACATCAAGCAGATCGAAGCGCGCTACGGCCACTCGGTGGCAGCGTACTTTATGTTTTGCCGCTGGGTCCTCCTCAACTACTTGATTTTGTCGTTGCCGTCGCTGTACTTTCTCATATTGCACATTTCCGAGCTTCTCGAGACGGTACAACTATATATTCTGTATATATATTCGGGCAATATTTTGGATAGCACTATACGTCGTGGAGTACGTTTACAGGGTTGATGCCCAACTGCCTCTTGTTTCCAAGCTACACAACCAACGAAGCCTTCGCTTACAGCGTGAGCCGCTACTGCCGGTGAGCGTAGCAGCTGACGACGCCGTAGATCTACCTTGGCGGCACCAGCAGCCTCTTCCTCCTCATATCCACGTACAAGTGGCTCCAAGAAGACCGCTACGCCAAGCTGCGCCACGCAGCCGAGGCCGGACGGCCCTCGACGTTTGGGAAGCTGCTCTTGAATGCATGGGACTTTGAAGCGACGACCAAAGACGTACACAACACAACTGTGCGGGATGACAAGGTCCGATATGACGTAGGACGTCTCGGACCTGCGCAAGAGCCTCTGGGACAGCTTGCATGTCGCCTTGTACGACGATATCAAGCAAGCGGAAATCCAAAATCGCACCAAGTACCACGACACTCGACCTCTTTGCATGCGACAGGAACTCTCCGTAGACGAGAGCGCTACGCGCTGTACGCGCGACGGGCCGTCGCCTTTTTCATCTACGTTGCGGTGCAAGGCATCTCTTGGGGACTCATCGGTCTCCTCACGGTCGAGGCGTCGTCGTTTGCGCAGATCATCAAGGCCCAAGTGCCCGCGCTTCAAGCGTACGCAGCGAGGTATGTTGTCGGTCTCCAGGTCGATCGACACTGTGTCCTGCCTCTTGCACTAGTATCGTGCCGATTGGGGTCAGCGTCATCAACGGCGTGCTCCCCAAGGTCCTTGGTGTCCTCACCAACTTTGAGCGCTGGGACGACAACGGGTTTCGCATCAAAGCCATGGTCACGCGCCTCTTCTTGGCCCAACTGCTCAACATTCTACTGCAGCTCTGGTCGTACGCGATGCTACTCGACCCGTTCTTGAGCTCAAGCTCGGAACAGCCCATCTCGTGGCTTCCGTTTGCCTACGAGATCCGCAGCAACGTCATGCAAAAGTTCAAGCCAGATGCGTACGCGTGCCGGGCCGAGCAGGTCGCGTCCGGCCTCGTCGTGCTCGTTGTGACCAACTTTGTGACGCCCAAGGTTACAGCGTTGACGCTCTCGGGCATCTTTGGCCTCTTGCGGCTCGTCAAGCGGCTGCGCGCCAAGCGAAAGGGCCTCGAGTTGCCACCCACCGACACGCGCAGTGAATTTCTGATCGCGCCGACCATGGTCGCGCTCATGTCGTCGTGTACGTTGTACGCATTTGCAATCCCGCTCTGTCCGTCGGCGGGTCTCGTTACCGTGGTCTTGCTCACGCTCAGCTTCAAATTTGACAAGCTGTACCTTCAGGTTGTCGTCATTTCTGGATATGTGGGTGGCTTTTCATCAATTGTACTAGGCGTTTATGAAGAAACCGAATGCGCCGTGGAGTGCCAAGAACGCGGGCGTCTTCTTCATCAAGCTCTACTGGTGCACGGTCGCCGTCTATGTCACCGGCATGTACTGGTTCCTCACCAATGTCCACTTGCCCAAACACTGCGATCTCCAAGTGCGCGATGCTCCGTTTCTCTGCAGCTCGTATGCATCACCGAGCCAAACGTGCGTCTTGAACACGACCAGCCCGATGGTAAGAGCTACGTTGTCGCGCTCCCCGCTGATGATGACGTAGAGTTTCTTCTTTCAAACGAGTCCCACCAACGAGTGCAGTGCAGGGTATCCGGGCTGCGTGTGTGCGACGGCCTGTGGACCGTTTGTCAACAGCACGACCGGCTACAGCCCCGTCCTCAATGTACGATATTGTCCTGTAGTGGAAGGTCGATGAAAAGTGAATAGTTGGTTCTCACGACAGACGGTGTCGGCTTCTTTGCCGACCTCGCCACGACGGGCGTGACGCTCTTGTGGGCAATCATTGTGCTCCTACTCATGCAAGTCGGACTCAAAGCCAACTCGATCGAAGCGACGCTCGTACGCACATCGATCCTCGGTATCGCAGACCCTACTTGGATTTGTCGTAGCTTGCTGGACATGTACAAGACCAAGAAGCCAAAGCCATGATCGCCGCCCTTCTCAAGAAGGTCGCAGCCCAAGACAAGAAACTCAAGCTTCAAAAACTCTGAGGCAGAGCATGGCACCGACTGCCATCCTCTGAAATATAGCAACGTGATAGCTCGTGTCGTCTCGTGGCGCTGAGAGTGCGTCCTTGACGGTGTCCTCGATGCATGATGGCTCATCTGATCGAGGGCCCACGTCTACTTCTTTCCTCTCCTGCGCATGGGCTCACTGGTACTTGCGAGTAAGCAGCTGCGCCTTCTGCTGGGTGCTCGGCTTGCGAGAGTTGAGGCGTTGAGGACTCGTTTGGCGCTGGTTGTCGTAAGCAACGACAGCTATGCGAGCCGATTCTGAGCATATGTGTCCTCGTACTCTAGTACAACTGTATTGGAAGGATGAACACATATATTGACAGTATAAACTAAAGCTACCAAGTCGACGTGGGCAGTGCGACATGGTGCTGAGCGATACGAGTGAGCAGCATCTCCAGCGAGTCGAGGTCCACGTCGGCCGACGGGCGTTGCAAGTTGGCAAAGAGATGACGGCTTGCAGGTTCGGCATCAACGGGCTCAACCGATGCATCGCGAGGGACTTGGCTGCAAGGTGCGTACAGATCGACGTTGGCATGGACGCCAAAGTGCGTGGAGGGTGCCACCGGACCAGGCTCCTCGTCGAACCAGTGTCGCATGGTGTCGGACTCGTGCGACGGCCAGTCGATCAAGGCGATCTCGTCGAGGCTGCTCTCGGCATCCTGGAGGTCGGGAAGGTCCAAGCAGAACATCTCGAGCAAGTTGGCGACATCGAGCATCGAATCATTGGCAGCGCAAGCGGCGGTCTTTTGCTCTTCGAGATGACGCGCCTTCTTGGCCGAGCCGGGGCGACCGGCGTTCGATCGACGCTTGTAGGAAGCGAGGGTCTTGAGGTAGTTCTCCACGTCCACGACCGAGCGCATGGGCTTTTCGATACCGTGCTTTTCGCCCACGCTGCGTGCAAGGTCTGAGCGTTGACGCAGAAGGGTGTTGAGGTCGTCTGTGATGCGCTTCTGGTTGTGGCCCGCGGTGCACCCGGCCTCGATCACGTCACATTCCGCAGGTTCAAACCGGCTATGTGCATCATGAGCTAATTCGCAATGCAAAATAGTAGCGTACCTGCGCACGAGACTGTTGCGCGCGTACTTGTTGTAGCGGTCGCGCAGGCTCTTGGTGCTATTCATGCGTATGCTTGAGTGGTTAGAGATGGAGATGGCAGTGCGTACCTGCGGCGCATGATGCGCTTGATAGCGCCCCAATCAATCTTGCCGCCGCCGTAGTGCGCCACCAAGTCGCAGAGGAGCTTTGTCTCGTCATCGGTGTATCTGCCAGTGATGAGACCCGGCTCGAGAGTCCGGTACCAGCGCTGGTACAGTTGCTCGCGCTTGGCGTTGGGGAAGAAGATGCGAATGAACTTTGTAACAGCCTACGAATTGCATTTTGATCCAGCAGTTGAGCATGGTTTTGCAAGGACCTCCCACTCGATGGTCCAGTAGCAGAAGAGTTCGCGCTCGTCGATGCGGAAGTTGGCTTCAATCAACGCGGTCAGCAGCTCGTCCCAATTCTTGTCGTCACGGGCTACGTAGTGCAGAGCCCAAAAGACAACCTTGCATCGACCAAGATCACGGCGCATTTTGCCAGCCAATTCGAAAATGAAAAGAGGCCAATTTGAAATGAAAAGTGGCCATCGTCGCTCCAAGGACATCGGATTCTAGAGGTGAGGGGGGTCGGCACAAGGGAATAGGGAGGTTCTTCCCTTTGGGGTGCATTGAGAAGGACGTGTTATCGCCGCCCTCGTTTGCTCCCACTCCGATCGTCGACGCAGTAATGCATGACTTTTCCCGAGCTTGATAGTTCTATGTTGAGAAGAACGTGTCGCAAGTTCAAGTTGCTCTGGTCGGTACAATTCGTAGCATGTACGCCAACCCTGCAGGAAACTGAATTCGTTGAATTATCAATGAACGAAAATTATCAAGTAAACATTTTGCGACATGTGTACCCAGAAAGTGAGCTGTCGGGAACCCACATCTACCTGGCGGTAGACCGGTGTCTAAACCGTTCGACTTCCATGGACAATTGCCGTCAAGGCGATGCTCACATGCACTTGCACAGCCTTGTTCAAAACCCAGGGCTCTCCGTCGCCTTCTCCGGCTCCTCGTTCAACATGAGTGGCCGCGCCAGCACCTTGTCCCGCGGATCGCGCTCGTCCCTCTGCCGGCCTTGGTCCAGATCAACACCAGCGCCTACTCAACGAAGAAAGTCCGACAATTTTATGTAGCGTAGAGTTAGGTATCTACTTCAATAGACGACCCACTTCAGCCACCACTTCTGGACTCGAAACTCTATGGATCCTTGACTTCCAGGCGCCTTCCAAGCGGCCCTCTGGCCTGCTAATGCTTAGGATCATGATCAAGGATGTTCGATGGTCTTGGACCACCTCCAGCTTGTAGCAATGCTCAAGGTCAATGCAAATACTTTTATCATGATCAAGTCGACGTGGCTTCCGAGGACGAGGATGCTTCGTGAATGGCGTGGGCGACTGCCTGGATCCAGCTGTCGAGGGCTTGGACGTTCTCGGTGAAGAGGAGCATCGAGAGGTTGTTGTCCAAGACGACCTCGAAGCAGTTGGGTTTATGGTACGGCCGCACGAGCGTCGACTTGGTCAAGAGGTACTTGACCGGTGCGTCTTTCGGTGACTTTTGAATGCACAGTTCGCGGTCTAGTCAAGTTTGCAATCAGAAAAAATAGGAAAATAGCTGAAATCGCATACCTGTGAGGGACACGAGCCGACGCAGGCCGATCGGATTCACAAACGGCTTGTGCTTGACGAGACGCATGAGAAGGTACTCTTGCTTGGCGACGTTGCGCAAGGCCGCGACGGCTTTGGTCTTTTTCCGGCGCATGATTTTCCCAAGTGTCTTCTTGGTCGGGCTTTCGTCCACCGACGATGCCGACGACTCGCTGTCTTCGTCCGACAGCTCATCAATGACAAGGTGCTGCAGACCGTCGTGGTCGACGTGGTGGTCCGGGTCGACGCCATGGCCGTCGACAAACGCGATCTGCCGCGCATGGAAGGCCGACTGTTCCAGGCAGCCGCCGTCGCAACTACAGGTGCCGCCGTACTCGACAGGGAGCGACTCGGCGTCAATGTACTGGAGCAGCGTCGACGCTGTCTCGGCCTCGCTCAAAATGAACGTCTTGGCGCGCGTCGCTTCGTGCAACAGCGGCTTGATACACTTCCAGATCATGCCAAACCACGACGGGACGTTGATAAGGAAGATTTTGAACGACTGCTGCGGGTAGTGCTTCTGCATCGCACTCGTGCAGCTTTTCACAAACTCGAGCGACTCGCCGGCCAAATCTAAGAACAGGGGTATATCAGGAAATGGCGACGTCCCTTTGAGGACGCACCGCGCATGCCAAGACCCCGCGCGTCGAGCACGATGAGCATCTTGCACGTGTGGCTGTCGCGGCACGACATACACGAGCACGGCGACGGGATCACAAACCGGAGAATGTACTCCATGTTGAAGAGGTAGTGTCGGAAGAGGTCCGGCAGCGTCACGCCCGCGGCCTGGAGCCCCTTCATGTCGATCGACCCCATCTTCTCGATGAACACCGGGTGCCCGACTTTATCGACCTTGTGGACGCCTTGCTTGTAGAACCTACCCGTTGCTTGAGAATCGATCAATGTTTCAAGGGGAAAGTGTACCGGCGGATCGTGTGGTACAGCGGCTGCGGCGTGCTCAGTAGCGACTCGATGTCGTTCTTAGCCCGCCACGCCAACGTGTCAGTGTACCGGGTCGCTGCCTTCGCTGCATCACCGTTCTCGGCCACAAGGAACCGCCGGGGCACCGCGTCACAGGGTGACGACGCGTCGTCACAGGCCTTGGCGAGGCGCTCGGTCTGTGACGCTTCCCACGCGAGCACCGAGAGCTCAAACGTCAACGTTGGCGTCGTCTTAGAGCCGAGCAGCGGCGCGTAGAGGCGCTCGAGGTAGCAGACCTTGATCACGACAAGGCAGGGCAGCGCCCCGAGCACGAGCGCACCGTAGAGAGACGTGACAAGGATCGCGCCTTTGAGGTAGGCGTGGCCGACCAGCGCGAGGTAGCCGAGGGCCATGGCGGTCAGCGGCGAGATACCGCGCTGCGTGGTGCAAGGGACGCAGGACCCGCTGGTGGTTTTGCGCAAGGCGACGAGCTGGAGGCGCACGGGTCGCTGGCCGTGCTCGACCACCGCGTAGAACGGCTGGTTCATGCTGCGCTCGAGCCTACCGCACCCGATAAGACCTGAGATCATGTAGATACGAAAGCGTACTCGTGCAGTGCGACGTGGGCGCGGCCTTGGTCTGTAAACACAATCTCAACGGTCGCAGACGGCGGCCCAACAATGGTCATGCTGGCCGAGAGCATGTCGTCAATGTCGGCGGCGATCGGCGTCGTTGTGTTGCCGTCGACGACGTCGACCGTGAGGATCTTGGGCGGCGGTACGCCGTGGATCTCCAAGCGGAGGAGGGCACCGCGGCCATCGCAGCGCAGGAAACCACCTACGAACGCATCAGAAATGATTGGAGAAAGTGCAATGTGAGCGCGATACCAAAGGTCATGGGCGCATTCTTCTTGCGGTACGTGGTCACGAGCCGGTTGAAGCCGAGGCGGAGGCGGTTCGAGTCGACGACTTGGATGACAACATTATTGTCGCCATAGTACATGATGCGGTGCTCTTGGAAGCATGGCACCGTGTCGTTCTCGTCTTCGGACGTCGGCAAGAGAAACGCCACCGACATGGTGCCCGAGAGGTTCGTGTCCTTGGAGCATGGACCAAAGTACCCGTTGAAGGCGGTCCCGACCTTGTTGTTCCAGATGTGGTCGGCGGCGTCGACGAGGCAGACGACGTCGCCATACGAGACGGGGCTGCCGACCTTGAGGTGGCCATAGTAGCACTCGGGCACGATGCGAAAGTACGACTGGTGAAAGCCGGGCTCGGTCAGAGGCGCAATGCACGCGAGGTCGTGGCACTTGTGCGTCGTGAGGTTGCCGCGCAGCTGGAAGAAGCTCGCGGCGAGGTCGTAGGTGCCCACGCTCGCGAGCTCGGTCGTGCCTTGCAGCTTGGTGCGCAGCCGAATCGTGTCGCCGTACTTGACGGCCACATGCGGCGGCGCGTCCTAATATGGCATCCACCAGGTGAGTTGCGTCTCGATGGCCGAGCCATCGTATTACCTGTTGTATCCTGTCGACGTCCTTGTGCAGCGGGACCTTCTCTAATGGGAGGCCGCCGCTGCCAGGCTCGGACCGCGTCTGCCGCAGCTCGGGCGCGTCCGGCGGTGGGCCCGGCAGCGACGTCATGTGCGCCAGCGACGGTCGCTTGGGCCGGCGTACCAAGCCCACGTGCAGGCTGCCGACGTGGATGTCCTCGAGCATGACGTGATGCAAGGTCGCTGCTGATACAAAGTGCGAGTTACAAGCTGGGTAGTAAAGATAGATTCAGAGAGGAGAAGGCTGGGACATGTGGTGCCAGCTGGTGGAAGGAAGCGCCGGTCGCCGGCTCTTGGCGCCGCCGCGTCATCCCGTCTTCTACGCCACGCCAGGATGCCGACGACGCCTGCGACGCTACTGCTTCGGAGGCCCTCGGAGCTTTGGCCAAGCGGCGACGACCGGCGAGCGCGTACGACGAGGCGACCTCGGGCGGTAGATTCTTGAACCTCGCCATTGCTTGAAGGTACCTACGTTGCGTCGTGCGGCTGCGCGCCTGTGGTCGGTGGTCCAAGGAGGCTGATGGTCGGTGGTCGGTGGCAAGCGGACGAGGAAGGGCGCGACGAAGGCGCAGCAAGGCCGGTGCACCACGACAGGCCGGTCGGATCCTACCACCGCGAACGTACGCTCGGTTACCCTGCTGTAATGCGTCGACGCCGTTGCATGTACGGGCAGTCAAAGACGCTACTGCGCCTCGTCTTTTGTCTTCTTATGCACCTTCTCAACTACAAGCTACAAGCGCGACTGGAGGCCGGCCTGCGCCTGCGCGAGCACCTTGACGAACGGCTGGAGCTTCATCGCGAGCTTCATGTTGCCGATGAACGCCATCTTCTTGGTCGAAATCGCTCGCTCGAGCCGCAGACTGCCCGAGACAAAGTCGACAAAGTCGCTCTCCGTCATGCGAATCTCGAGGTCGACCGGCGTCGACGGTGGACCGACGAGCACTTTTTTGCTGTCGGCGCTGACGCGGATGACAAAGATCGCGTCACCGATCGTCCACTGCAGCGACGACCCAAGGACAGGCGCCACGAGCGCATGGCCCTACACCCACGTCGCTCTTCCGCTAACGGTGGACGGTGGTCGATGTACCTCGGGGCTCTGGAGCACGTTATGCACTCGGTCAAAGATACCGCGGATCTTCTTGGTGAACGGCGTGTGCACCGTGTCGGGCGGCGCATTGACGTTGCGCAGCATAGGCGCAAACGAGTCCTACAAGCGTGGGAAGGAGAGGGCGTTGTCTCTCGTCAGACGTACCTGCGTCGTCTCGGGGTGCGTCGCCTTGGCAAAGCTCACGACTTGGCTCCAGTTTTGCGCCACCTACGACAGTCGAGTCAGATGCGATGGTCCAGAGGCGCTAACTGTACTGTCTCGGGCGTCACGTTGAGCGGGAAACCGAGCCCGGCGCTGCGCTCAAGGCGCACCTTGCCGATCCAGCCGCCGCCTGTCTCAAAGATACCGCCGGTCTCGGATGACGAGCCATGGCAGAGGAACGCCACCATGGACGTCGTGTACGCCGGCTTCAAGCGCGAGTAAATCTCGGTCGGCATGACTAGCCATCAAGTAGGAAGATGAGACGGAGTAGAGATGCATAGAGTACCGGACTGCGTCAGCGACGTGCCGGCAACGGCGGCGATAGCGTTGACGGCAATGCCATACTTGCGGCCTTCGATCGCGAGCGCCTTGGTGAGCCCCCACATACCGCTCTTGGAGGCCGCATAGTTGGCCTAATGGCGCAGGATCGTTAGATATTGACAAGCGCACATCGCAATGCACCTGGCCAAAGTTGCCGTACAAGCCACTCGCGCTCGTGCAGAGGAGGATGCGGCCGTAGGTTTGCTGCCGCATCGCCGTCCAGACCGCGCGGGTCATGGTGAATGCCGACGAGAGGTCGTGCTCGAGGACCGCCTCCCACTGATCGCGCGTCATCTTGCGGAACGCAGCATCGTGCACCTGCGTCGCCGCGTGCAAGAGGATGTCGACGCGGCCATGCACCGACACGATCTCGTCCACGACGCGGCGGCCCTCTCGCTCGTCGGCGCAGTTGGCGACGACCGCGGTCCAGCGCGTCGAGGGCGCCGATGGTAGCTGGAGGACGCGCGGGTCGCTGTCCACGAGGACACAGGTCGCACCACGCTCATGCAGGAAGCGGGCCCACGTCGAGCCGAGGCCGCCGGCGGCGCCGGTCACAAGCGCCACTTGCCCGTCGAAGGCGAGCATCTCAAAATATTTTGTTGACGCAACGTGGAAAACGCGTGTTTTTCACACGTCGTTCGACCGTGAAGCACAGATTTTCACGCGTTCTTTTTTCACATCACAAACGCCACCTGTTTCCCACGTAGCCACTAATTATGGCGCACGCCACATCTAGTAGCCGACACGACCCGCTCCGTTGCCCGATGACGGCGATCGCAGCGTGTGTCCTACTGCAGCGTCGTCGGGGTATTGCAACCACGACGCAAGGAGTAGGACTCACCATCGCTCTGTGGATCCGAGGTTCGTAGTATAGACTGTTATAGGACAGACTGGGCCGACGACGTCAATGGCCTAATTATGGCGTGTGCCACCGCTTACTCTTTTCGAGATTTCGCACAAACTTGGCCGTGCATGGGTGCAGTGCTCGTCATCTGCTCGTGCCGGACGCCCGAGGATCTCGATGCGAGCTACTTTAGCTCGTGGTCTATGTACCCGCCATGACAGGCAACTCCTTTTGAAGCACCTGCGCTCAGCTCCTGCGCACCTACTTCTCGAGTAGCGTGCCTGCAGAGGCGTTGGACAAGTAGCAGGTGAGCAACCGCGCCCTCGCCGCTAATTCCACGCAACCCGCTGGGCGCCACCTTCAATGAGACACCGTTCGTGATAGGTACGGGAGCGCTTCGGGCACGCGCTCCGCTCGTCGCGTGGGCATACTGGCGCCCGCATTTGTTAGCCATCGCCGCCTATGTAGCCTGCGCGCGTCCTCGCGTCCGGCGCGGTTGGCCGGCGCGGCTGCGGCCAGCGGCGATGGCTCCGCTTGGCCGTTTGAACCTGGTACCGAAGTTCGTAGTAGCCACATCCACGCGTGCGCCAATGAGATCCGTCGTATTTATAGGTACCTTCGAGCTGGTTGCAAAAAAAGACGCATCTTTTAATGCCGCTACTGGCGTTGGATATGCATTTCGTCTTGGTGTTTGTATGTAGCTCTGGAAAGGGCAACATGAAAACGAATTAAAATGTTAAATCGAAGTTCTAAAAGTGCATTGTGAGCAAAGCGCATTTTTTATCCCCACGGCGGCCGCCCATGTCGTCCTTCGCCACGCGCCTCAACTCGCTCAAGACGCGGGGCGTCTTCAACATCGACAACGTGCAGGCGGGCCGCGGCCGGCGCCCGTCGACGATCGACAAGTCCAAGCCCAATGTCATTGACGTGACCTGCCCGATGACCGAGATTGAGTGGGAAGGCTACCTCTACAAGCAGAGCAAGATTGTCAAGACGTGGATTCCGCGCTACATTACGCTCAAGGACGGCCTTTTGTGCTACTACAAGAGCAAGAAGCACGCGGTCGAGCGCACGCAGCTGCGCGGCTCGTGGCAGATCGCCAAAGTGCTCGACACGATCCCGTCCGGTGGCATTGGCGGCGGCAAGCTCCACTCGTCGACGCTCGGCTTTAGCATCGTTGCGACCAACAACCACATCATCCACTTTGTCGCGATTAGCCCCACGGAGAAGGAAATGTGGCTCCACATGTTTCGCAAGTGCTGCGAGCAAGACTCGTACCAGAAGAGCCTCGCGACCGAGCAAACGACCTCGACCAACGGCGAGAGCAAGCTCGCGCGGTCGTCGTCGCAGCTCTTCTTCCAGGGCCTCACCGAGCCCATGACCGGCGGCCCCGTCCTCTTTGAGAAGCTCGCAACCATCTTGTCGGACATTACGCCGACCGAGCTCATGGATGTGCTCCCGATCTTTGTCAACCACCTGAGCCAAGACGTTGACGTCAAATTTGACTTCGAGCCGCTCGACTGCGCCAAGTACGGCTTCTCGCAGGGCATGTACTATGCCCGCGAAGGCTTTGTGCACTTTGTGTCGCTCTTCCGCCAGACGTTTGCGTTGCAAGCGGCCAACAGCGACGAGTTGCCCAAGGTGTACCCGATGAAGGACGTCGACTCGGTCGAAGTTGTCGGCCAGCACGTGCTCCTCAAGCTCAACACGACCGAAGAGATCCGCGGCCGGTTTGTACACCGCATGCAGTTTTCGCCTTCTGGTCGCATTGCGCGCATGAGCGTCGACTTCAAGGTCGCGTCGTCGTCGTCGTCGGGCGCCGCGCGCACCCGCCCACGCTCGCTGTACAAGCTTGAGAAGCACCCGCAGAACTTTCACTTGTGCTACAAGTCAAAGCGGTCGCTTTTGTTGTCGTTCCGTGACTTTGAAATTCTGGGCGTGCTCGGCCAAGGTCCATTTTTGTGATTTTTCACATTTTCACCCATTTGCGCTGTTAGGTGGCTTTGGCACTGTCGTGCTCGTGCAGCGCTTTACAGGCGGCGAGCTCTTTGCGATCAAGGTCGTCGACAAGTCCGCCGGCGCCTCGAGCGCGCTCAAGGAACGCCGCATCCTCTCGACGTTGCGCCACCCGGTACGAACTGATACTTTGATATTTCCCGATGCTCCAATTTTCCGAGTTTTCGATTTCGGAATTTTGAAGTTTTGGATTCGGAATGCTGCATTCTGACACAATGACTAGTTTTTGGCCCGGCTGCGCTTTGCGTTCCAGACGCAGACCAAGCTCTTCCTTGGTCTCGACTTTTACACGGGCGGCAACTTGTACTACCACATGCACTCGTCGACGAACGCGGATGGGACGACGATGGAGTGGACGGGCGGTCGCCGCATGGACATTGCGCGCGTCCGCTTCTACGCGGCCGAGCTCGCGCTTGCGATCAGCTACTTGCACTCGCACGGCATCATCTACCGCGACCTCAAGCCCGACAACGTCATGCTCGACGACGTCGGCCACATCCGCCTCGTGGACTTTGGCATCTCCAAGCAGCTCATGAAGGACGAATATACCGGTACGCTTGCGGGGTCGCCAGCGTACATTGCGCCCGAGCAGCTCAACACGCAGCGGCCGCAGTATGGCACGAGCGCCGACTGGTGGAGCTGGGGCGTCCTTGTCTACGAGATGCTCACGGGCTCGACGCCGTTTGAAGACAGCAACATGGCCCAAATGTACCGCAAGATCCAGAGCCAGGACATTCGGTATCTTATTTATCTTAGTCTTTTTGCGGATCTCACCAAACGAATGTCGTAGGTACGACTTTCACTGGCCGGTCGAGCCCGCGGCGATCGACCTGCTCCGAAAAGTCCTCGTGCGCGACCCGAGCGAGCGTCCGTCGTTTGGCGAGATCCAGAGCCACCCGTTCTTTGACGGCGTCGACTGGATCGGGCTGCTCCAGAAGACGGTGCACCCGCCGTTCACGCCGTCGACCGACGATGTGTTTGCGCACGTCTCGACGCACTTTGCGAAGATGAGCGTCGACTCGCTCGACAACACGCCGTGCGTCGGCGTCGGGCTGCCGTCGACGTCGACCAAGAAGGGCGACGCGGTCGATCTGCACATTGACGACTTTAGCTTTTTCTACGAAAAGCCGGACGAAGTCGCGCAGAACGACTATGCGTACGCGCTCATTGCGCAAGTCAAGGAGACATTTGCGCGCGAGCACAATGGCTGCTGCCCGCCGTCGTCGGGCCCGACGCTCACGCATTTGCACTCGGAAGACGACATGACGGTCGACAACGATCTCGACCCGGAAGTCGACCTCGTCGTGCGGGATACCGAGATCGAGAACAGCCTCAGCCGCTGCAACAGCGTCGACTTTAGTCGTTCGAACAGCGCCGACCTGAGCCGGTCCAACAGTGTGGACCTCAGCCGCTGCAACAGTGTCGACTTGACGGTTGTTGCCGGCAACGCCCCCGACGCCGACCGCAGCGAGCTCTAGGACGTAGCAATACGACGTAGGATGATTTTACGAAAGGATAACAAACAAGACAAGAACCAGTAGCGTACGCGTAGTTGACCACGATAATGTTTGGACACATGATTCGAGCCAAGATTGCCCATGACGTGGCGCTACAGAATGGCGCTGGGCGCAAAGGCAATGTGTCGCTCCGTGCCAGCCCGCTGCCGCAAGGCGCCGAGGTGGAGCTTGACGCTGTGTTGCATGGACAGCCGTCGACACACGGCCGCCACCTCGTGCAGGTCGTCTCGCGTTTCACACTGATTAGCGTCGTCGTCTTGCCCAATGCGAAGGGCGTCGTACAGCTTTGTCGGTGATTGCCGTTGCTGTTGCACGTCCTTTCTCGCTTGCTGGCGTGTCTGGAGCTCGTGGAGTGCTCGGCGGGTAGCTTCGTCGCGGTGGTGCTTGGGGTTCGAGACGAGCGATGCAAACAGCGGCGGTTGTGGTTCCCGGAGCACGCGCCCGACGTGTGGTCGCCGACTCGGCGCGACACCAAGAGCGTCTTCAAAGGCCGTTTTGCGGTATGTGGGGTAGCAGCGCTCGTCGTTGCGATCGTATATGGCTGTCGGGACGGTCACAATTATCTGCTTGTCGCGCAGGGCGTACACGTGGCGCATATCAAGGTGGTAGCGCGGCTTGGGTCGAGGGACAGGGCGCCGAGACGACGTCGAACGGCCACTCGACATGGGCGGCAGTAGTGGCTTGCTTGGCACCGGGCTCGGTGTCGTGGCCGGACGATCGATGGCGGTGATCAGGCGTCGCGACGCGAGCGACGCAGCCGTGGTGACTGCAAGGTCGTCTTGGTTCTGTAGGGGTCGTCGCGGTGAGGCCATTTGGCCTCGCGCCGTGTCAAAGAACTGCTGCAGTGCACTCGCCCGTCCTTGGCTCCGGTGCAAGCTCACATACTGCAGCCGCCCAACATGGGTCGACGACGGGTACTTGTACACGGGTCGGTGGTCGCTGTTGTTGTTGGCGCGCTACGTTGTCGTTGGGGTGCGTTGGGTGTGACGAAGAGGATGCGTACCAAACGAACGATCGCAGGCGTTGCCACGTCACGCTGGCTACTCTGTGCGTGCTGAACTTTTTGACGCACCGCGAACCCGCGGTAGCGCGCCTACATTCGCTTTAGCGAGTTAGTACATCGCATGGGCGGTCGACCTGCAACTTGGAAAAGACAGCGTGCATGCGGCTAGGGTTCGCGAGCGCGTGGTCGTGGCGCTTGTGCTTTTTCATAATCTTTTGTATGCTCGAGAGTCGGTCAGGCGACGGCGCGCGCGTCCTTAACTGCGCGAGCTTGGACGCCGCGCGCACCCACGTGTACTTGATCTTGGGCGAGACTGTCCGCTTGGTGGAGTCGCTGCGCTCTATGCTCCAGTCGCATGCCATATCATGTGAGGAGGAGGTGAGAGGTTGTACCCCGCAGCCGCACGAGGTACTGCCACATGGCGCGGGCCATGAGGTCGTAGGCGCGACGGAGGGCGACCGCGTACAAGCGAGCAAGGAACCGGCGAGCAACGGCTTGGAGCACGATGGCCATGTCGCTTCGAAAGAGCGCCGCTGCGTCGCGCTCCTGTCGCAGCACCGCCAAGTAGTGCAGCCGCCGGATCTGCCAGCCGCGGCACCCTGCCTGGATGCGCGTCGCTGCCTACGCGAAGGCGTTTGGCATGGGAGGCGTTGGTGTGGGTATGTCACCTTGACTTGTCGGATCGTGTAGACAGGGGGGCGTGGAATGCGCAGAATCGATTGGCGAATGCGGTTGCGCATCGACTTGCGCGTCGGCGACGGGCGCGGCGGCTCGGGCATTTTGATCGGCTCATCAAGCGTGACAGGGTCGTCCTCGATCGTACGCAGCTTTGTAGAAAAGTCGACCTTTTCGCCTGTGAGCTTGGAGTTGAGCAGGTTCAAGAGGTCCATGGCCTAGAATTGTTTGCGTTTGCAGATAAACTGTACGAGACGCCATACGCTGTCTTGGTGCTGTTGCGTCGTCGACTCGGTCGCGAGCTTGGCATGCCACGCCGCATCGATCGTCGGCTACACACGTTTACTCACTTGGTGTTTATTTATGGGAGGAAATGTACCGCAATGAGCTGCAGGAGGGTGCCCAGCGACTCGACCTCGGACGCTCTGTACATATTGGGAGTGGTCACGCCCAAATCGCTCGATGAACGCTCCTCAAGCAAAACGGCAGTCCCGTGTGCAGACTTTGGAGTGATGCGATTCACCATCTGCACGATACATCGATCGGCTGTTGCCAAGCGCATGCGCGAGCATACCTGCACAACGCCAATGGCGCGGTGAATCTCCCGCTGCAACGGGAGGCAAAGCATGTTTTCGGCCGACGCATGCATCTTGCCATCGACTTTGGCATCGTAAAGCGGGTCCTATCGTCGATGACGCTGCATGAGTCACCACGTACAAGAAGGAGAGAGGTCGAGACTGCATCGGGGCGACAAATGTTGATCGTTGCTTTGCGCGAGAAGCACCGCCCGACGAGGCCCATGGCCGTCGAGAAGGTGCCATTGAGCGGTCGTTTGACGTTGTGCACGGCCGCGAGTTGCAGCATGCGGCTGCGCTTGTCATAGATAAAGACCGAGGCCGACTGCGACGGGACGACCGCCACGAGACTCTTGAGTACTGCGCTGAGCACGTCGTCGAGGGACACATCCACACGCGTCTCGTTAACAGAAGAGGCGGTGCCAAGCGCGCGCAAGCGCTCCGTGTGCTCGACGAGAAGGCCAGCATTGGGCATGGTCCATCGTCCAAAAATCTGTTTTGCGTTTTGCTAAAAATAGCCACTCGAGTCGTGCCACGTCATACACTTGATATATGTATGTCAAGCAAGACCACAATAAGAAACCCAATCTTAGTACAAATGTCGGAGCACAGTGTGGCCTTGGTTGCCACACTCGTTGTCATCGTCATCGTCATCGTCCTTATCGTCCGCTATGTCTGGTCGCGGAAGCTGGTGGAAGGCTGCCGGCGGTCGGCCACGCGGCATGCGCGCCGCGTTCATCATGTCAAACACGGACGACGAGACGCTCGCATTCGACTCGATCGAGCCCGACCGCTGCAGCGGCGGTGGCGCCGACCCATCGTGAAGCACCATCGTATGGAAACTCGTGCGCAGTGGGTCCGAGTGCAGCGAGTTGGGTCGGGACTCGCTCTGCGACGACGACGTGTCGGCGTAGAAGAACACTAGCACAACACACGCATCTCAGAGAAAGGACGCGGCACAACAACGTACATTTGCCACGCTCGTCGCGACCGGGGCTGTGGACATGCACGACATCGCGGTACGGGAGTGAGCCAGAGCCAGAGCTCGCGTCGTCATGGTCGAGCACGATGGTGTGCGTCGTTTGTGTCGTCGAACGCTCGGGCTTGGGCGGCGTCGGCCGACTGGCGTCGATCTTGGCCGCGACAAAACACGTTTTGCAGAATTTCTCTCTGGCGAGCGCGCTCGAGCTCGCCGATTTGGTCGGTCGGTCGACACAGTAGAGCGCGACGGTGCAGCCCTTGCACACCGCCTAGCGCATACGCGATTTAGGAAGAGTGGTGAGCGTACGAAGCACCTCGCCGCACCGCCGACAGTGGTGCTTTCGCCGTAGCAGGTTGAAGCCTTTGCTGCACACGACGCACGACTTGCTATGCAGAGCGATCAGACAGTGAGTTCTGAGATCTCGTCGCACCTTGCGTGGTTCCAACTGAGAGAAAAAGGTCCTGTGGTCAGTCGTCGGGCTTCGGGCGCGCTTGTTTCCTTTGGGAGCCTCGTGAGGTCCTTGACGAGACCGCCGGGCACAAAGACGCCCATCGCCTTCCAGTAGACAAGGTGCGCTGCCGTGCACTGCTGGGCCGCGTTGTTGACGCCATAATGTCCTGCCATTTGGCTTTGGCTGCGACTTGCCGCGGGGGGACCTACAGTATTGGCGGTCGAAAAGGCAAACTCAAACGGCAAACTCAAACGTCGTACCGCGCGACGACTGCAACTTGGCCCGCACGACCACGTCGACGGTTCCGTTCGTGCTCTCGCGGGAGAGCTTGACGGTCGAGCAGCGCTCGCCAAACGTCAAGGACGACCGGCTGTGCTCGAGCGGCCGGACAGCGACCGGGTCCGTGATGACCACGTACGTCACACGGCCTTGGGCATCGAGACGTGTGCCGGCAAACTATCCGAACGTATAAAGTCCATGCCTTGTACGAAGCGCGAGACCTCGAGGTAGATGTACTCTTGGTCCATGTCTTCTTGGTTGGCGACCTGCACCGCGAGCTTGAGGTACTTGACTCCGAAAAACTGACCTGGGTCCTCGGGTGTCCGGCGGTGCGTGAGGTTGAGCAATGCAGCGTCGAGGAGCGCGTCTTCGTAGAGCACACCGGAGAGCGCGCGGAGGTCGTGCGTGTTCTTGACGTAAAAGGCCTCTTGCAGCGCCGATATCGACGTCTTGAGGCTCCCGACGGCGAGGTATTCGTGCATCTCGAACGACGTCGGCCGGTCGCGCGGCTTGTGCTCAAAGAGCTGCCAGCCCAACTTGTCGGTGACGGCGTCCCAGCCGTTCGTGGGCGTTGCGGACGACCGGTCCCAGCCGACGTGGCCGCGCAGCGCGAGCCCCATGATGCGCTCCATGTTGGCCAAGTGCTTTTCGTAGACGTCCTGCGTGAACTCAATGCGCGGGTAGCGCGCTGCAGCGTTGGCGACGCTGCCACCGCTCGTCGTACCCGTAGCCATTGCGCAAGGATGATCGATGACGACAACTACCTTGCTTGCTGCTGATGGATGGGGCTGGGCGGTAAATGGGCTCCTTGACGACGGCTGCCATCTGCTGGCCTTTCTGACGGCACGTCCCAGCTTCGACGAAGTTTGACAACCGAACACAACGCGCGTCGGACGTGCACGTGTGCTCGCAAGTCCCGCGTTGATCGTGTTGCCCTCATCTCAGCGTTGTAGAACTTTCTACAGAGCATATGAGATGGCCAAGCTTGTCGACGCCCATGCCACTTGCAGTTGACCCTCTTGCTTCCACCAGTCGACTACGTTGAGAGCTCTTCCATCGCGCACGCTGCTACATGCGTACGCCGCTCGTCAGGTATTTGTGAGCTGGAGGTGCTTTCGATTAGTAGACACTGCGTCAGTTGGAAATCGTGCAAGATGGTCACACTCTATCAATGGCAACGGCGTGGCTGCGCAGATAGGCGGCGGCAAGATTCGGCGCGGAGACGCTGTCTCTTCAGGAAAAATGAGTTGCCACACCTGTGAGCCTTGGATATAGTGTTGATGAAGCGATATGCGGCAGAGATAACTGCAGCCTTTCAAGATGCACATCCAAGGAAATAGCGCCGACTCGAGCTCGACTGAGATCTTGGTTGTAATATTTTGAAGTCTGGCTGTGGAGAGGGCTACAAAAATGTGACACTGCAGCACTCGCAGCTTCTCGAGTTCGTGGACCAACAAGAATGGAGCGAAGGTCTTCTCGCTACCAGCCTGTGTTGGGCCGCAGAGGACTTAGGCACACTGCACCGAGTTGCGATCATTCGTCGATTTGGTTGGTTGACAAAAAGTGATCATTTGACGTTTCCAACTGCCAAAGAAGGTGCATTTCCGAAGTATGTCAGTGGTACTTCGATCGCGCACTGGTCCATGCAGACATATCAACCATGAACCGACCGCCGAAAGGGAACTCAAGCCGCCAACAACCACGTCACCTCATGAGCACAACCGCCGTGGTCGTCCGTTCAACGTTCGGCGTCGTCATGGGCGGTACATTTTGTGTGCGATGATCTGGACAGGGCAACGACGACGACACCAGAGGTGCCGAAATTGCTAGGAGGTATCATTGACGCCGACCTCCAAATTAGCGCCCGAACGCAGTGCGAATCCCGCCATTCCTATGGGAACAATATATATTTTTCCTCGCGTAATGCGACTGTCGTGGCCGACTAAACGCTTGCGACGTCAGCTGCATCCGAACCGACATATATGGCCGCCTGCGAGCGCTCGAGTCGCCTCCCAGCAAACTGCAACCTGCGGGTAAAACCTCTTATAATTCATATACTGTGGAAAATAATATGTGTAGGATTGTGATAAGTATAAATTGTGGCAGTACCTGGCTGGCGTCGCCCACAGAATCTCTGACTGCCATGGTCGCGATCCCGCTCTTCAAGGTCGGCGGCCTCCTCCTGCGGACGCTGACCAAGCCCGTGGCCAAGCAGCTCAAGCAGAGCGCCAAGACCAAGCCGTGGCTCAACTCGGTCTGCCGCAGCGTCGGCCAGCACCAGCATGCGATCGGGGTCCGGATACAGATGAGCATGCAGGGCCAGATCCACTGGAAGACGATTCAGATCAAGGAGCTGCCGGCCGACCAGGCCGTCGACAAGGGCTCCGAGTTCCTCGGCGAGACGCTCATCTTCTCGGTCGCGGTGATCGTTGCGTGGTACGAGTACGACCGCAGCAGCCGCAGCGCCAAGGCGAAGGAGCTCAAGGCCAACGAGCGCGAGTTCCAGCGCCTCCAGCAGATCGAGATGCGGTTCCGGAACCTCGAGCATCTCATGGCGAGCATGCAAGACGAGATCTCGGTGCTCAAGCAGCAAGTCGACGACGCGACGGCCAAGCTCACGCTCTACAAGCACGAGCAGGCCGAGGTCGCGCGCCAGCAGCAGCACCAAGTCGCCGCCACAGGCCGCTGGTGGTAAGACCATGCCACTCCATCCGCCGACTAGACGCACCCCAAGGCTATACTCGTACCATTAGCAATACAGGAGGATGCTACCCTCGATCGCTCGCCTTTCTAAGTTGGTCTACGCCAGCCCCATGGCCGTCTTGACCTCGGCCATGGTGGACGACGCGATCGTGGCCGCCGCATCTCGCCCGTCGGCGAACACTGCATCCACATACGCAGGGTCTTGCTGGAAGTGCGCGATTCGAGCGCCAATCGGGGATATCCTACCAGGTTGCGTGAGCAGACGTCCGACTCTCTGTCTGTACTTTTCAACGACAGCCTCGGCGACGACGTTCTTGAACTGGCCCGTTTGGTACGACTAGAAGGCAGCAGCATGCATCACAATCCCATGTATCCGACTTGGACGTACGCCATAGTCGCGCTGAATGTCCTCGATTGACTTGTCCGAGACGACGCTCAGAATGGACATGAGGTTCGAGACGCCTGGTCGACCGTCCTTGTCGTAGAAGATACCGTCGATCGCGTCCGTCTGGGCCTTGCGGATCTTCTTGAGAATCACGTCGGGCCCGTCTGGGTTGTATCAAGTTGATACTTTTGCAGTCTGTGAACTGCAGTACCTGTGAGGTCGATGCGGCTACCGACCGCCGGGTCCGACTTGCTCATCTTCTTGGTCGGCTCCTTGAGACTCATGATGCGCACGAGCTGGTCGGTTGGGTCTTCGCGGACAGGAATTGGCTTGGGAAACACCGGCTGCTTGAAGCGGTCGTTGAAGGTCGTCGCCACCATGCGCGCGAGCTCGAGGTGCTGCTGCTGGTCGTCCCCCACAGGCACGTGCGTGGCCTTGTAGAGGAGGACGTCCGCGGCCATGAGCACGGGATACGACAGCAGTCTAATTTAACCGTCGTCGAGATGGTCATTTCAAAATTCTCAACAATGTATACCCGAGCGACACGTTGTTTTGGTCCTTCTGCTGGCTCTTCTGCTTGAACTGCGTCATGCGGTGGAGCCACGAGAGCGGCGTGACGCAGCTCAGCAGCCACGCGAGCTCCGCGTGCTGCGTAATGTCCGACTGCTTGAAGAGCACGCACTTGGTCGGGTCGAGACCGCAACCGAGGAGCGACGCGCCGAGGTCGCGAATGTTGCGCTGCAGCTGCGTGGCGTCGTACGGCATCGTGATCGCGTGTAAATCGACCGTCATGTAGAGCTGCGACGTCCGCGGCGCCTGCGTGTGGTTCTGAAGCTCGACCCATTTCGAGACCGCGCCGCAGTAGTTGCCGAGGTGCGGCACGCCCGTCGGCTGGATGCCCGACAAGATGAGCTTGGACGCTGCTCTACGCCAGAAGATACGAATGAGATCTTAGTCGCATCAGCCCGCCGACTTTGCCGCCATTGGCCTTGCACGTCGAAGCGATTTTGTGCTCACCGGATGCTGATGCAATCATCCGGATAAGGAACCGCACGGAATTCCGGATGACCACTTTGCTCTTTCGTTGCTGTGAGCGCAAGCTGTGAGCTACGCCAAGTATCGTCTTGATCGAGCTGTATTTGTACTAGTTAGTATATACAGTGAGTATACCCACGAAAGTAATTTAGTTAGTAGTAGTACTACACTAGCTCTTGATATCCAGCACCACCAAGACGCCACGACCCACCATCGTCTCGAGCCCGCGACTGAGCGACGTCTTGGCAAATGGACCAGGCCAGCGTCGATCAAGTCGGCTCAAATGTAGTGAATATAGTGAAATAGTAGATAATACGATGGATTGTACTTAGCCCGAGTACAAATTTGTAAACCTGAGCGACACAATGCTCTGTGTGCTCGCGAGCTTGGCGCTGGAGGTCGATGGTTTCGTTGGCCGTGTCGGCCGCAGCTTGGGCGGCGCCGGCTTGGCGTCCAGAAATGCGAGTTCGGCGTCGCGCTGTTGCTGCACGCGCTTCTCGAGCACGTACGCGAGTTGGGGCGAGAGGTCGACCGCGCTGTAGATCTGCTTTTGCACCGACGGGCTCGTGATCGTATGGCAATATTTGTCCAATATCGCATCGTAGCGCGGGATCTTGCCATTTGGGACGTCGACCCAGTTGCGTTCGCGGGCCAAGAGGCCGTGGCGCTCGGCCGCCTTCTTTGGCGCGACGAGTCGACGCGTGCTCGTCTGAAACGAGCTGGGCACGCGCAGGTCCTCGGCCGACGTCGGTCGGTCGACGCTGGGCTTGGGGACGTGGCAAAACGAAGCGTACTGCGACACGTCGCCTTGACGAAACATGTTGAGCAGCAGCCACTCTTCCTTGACTTTGTCGACCTTGGGCTCGAAATGGAACTTTTCCGGGCTTTTCACGACCACCTACAGATGATACATATCATTTTTGACAGACAAGTTGTCTTCATTGGTCCTACCGGTGCCGTTTTCTTTTTGGGCGACTTGGGTGCCGCCGTGTCTTGGCGCCACGGACGGTAGTTCTTCTCCGGCGAGTCGAACGCAATCGCATCGACGCGTGGTGAGATCGAGGGCGCTCGCGATTCGCGCCGCGGTGTCTCGACTTGGATTCGCGGTGGTTTGGTCTGACGTGGCACCGACGGACGTGGCGGTGGCCGCGGTGTTTCGACCTCTGCCGGTGCTTTCTTGGGCGGTAGCCGCTGCCGAAGTTTGCTGATGGTTGGTTTTGGCGTCGTCGCGGTCGCAGCAGGCATCGCCGGAGAGCGCTTCGGCGTCTGCGCCGCGCTGACCGATACAGCCGTGCTCAAAGGTGCACGAGCAACTGAGCTGGATTTGGCCGGCGTTGGGTGTTGCCGTGGCTCGGACGACGGCGCCGTAGCGACCCGGGGCGTTGTTGTCCGTGGGGTTGTCATCGGGTGAAAGATCGAGTCTTCAACGGACGATGTAGTTGTGGCGGGTACCACGACGCGCTTGCTAGTCGGCTGCACTGTCGTCGGCGTCGGTGAGATTGCTTGCGGTGGTGTTGCCGTCGGGCGTTCTGGCGCCGTTGGTGTCGGGGATGCACCCCGAGAGGAGGTGGCTACCATCGAAGATACGTTGCGAGCCAGGACGCCCGCCGCAAGCTGGTTGTTCACCTCGGAAGGTGCAGAGAGATGCGCTGCATTCCCAATTGGACTCGGTGGCGACGTCACTGCCGTCAACGACATTGGTTCTGGCATCGTTTCCAGTGCTGTAAGCTCTTGGAGGACGTCTTCGGACGGAGTTTTTTCTGGCGACGACGCCGTGTCCGTTGCTGCAGCCATGTGAGGCTCGAGCGTGTTCTTGTCCAGCATTTCGGGTGCGAGTAGTACATTGTCCGCCGCCAGCACACCATTGTTGGAAGCGTCGAGCGTCTGGGTGACGGCAGGCAAGGACGCGCCGTCGTCATCAAACCCATCTTCGTAAAAACTCGCACCCAAATCTGTATTGTCCTCGTCGTCGGCGTCCTCCTCGTCGAGCTTGAATTCGTCCATGTAGGCGTCCACAAAGCTTCCGCGGCGACTATTGTTGCCTGCAGTCGCTTCGAGGCTCTCCACCGTCGCCAAAATGGTATGGTCGTCGGCTGCGTCGCCGTCGTCGTCATTTCCAGCGCCTTCCTCGTCACCATCCGTCTCTGACGCGGCATCGTCCACGTGCACCGACTCGATCAACAGCGTGTCGGCAGCCTCGACCGCACTGGCAGGTACCGGATCTAGCATCTCCATGGGCACATCGGACGACATGGGGGTGATGGCGCCAATCTCCACGTCGGTCGCTGGTACATTGTCGTTGCTGCTTGTGGTGTCGTCCTCCTGGTCGAGCGCGGCGGGCACCAAAAGCAAAGTCGAAAGCTGCCCGCTGTCGTCCAACACTGCAGCTTCCTGAGGCACGAACGTCGTCGCTTCGCTGGCTGCAGGCTCGGCGGCATCGTCCGTCGCCACGGACACAACGGCCGCGTCCATTGACATCGGTGTCTCTGTCGTCGGAGGGGTGACCAGATGCTGCGTGCTTTGGCCAGTCTCGAATGGCTCGTTATGGTTGTTTCCACCGTCTGATGGCGGCAATGCTTCCGCAGCGCGAGAGGTCGTTGGCGTACTCAAGTCACTCATGGCGGCTGCAACGAGCTTGGAATTCGCCGCTTGTACAACCGATGGCGCTTCGTTTTGCATCTCGGTGATCGCGCTTTCGGGAGCCGCCAATGGCGGGTGAGGTGGTTCTGCTGAAGCAGGCTCGTCGAAAGACTGGGTTGCAGCTTGGTCGTCGTCATCGTCTCGTGCATCAGCTGCAACGACTGGCGTCTCTGACCGCGGTGCGGCTGCGCTCATCTCCCCAGCATCCTTGGGGTCGCTTAAACTGTCATCGTCCGTGGACGCCGCTTGCACTGCGACGACAGACGCTACAGTAGCCTCGGTCGACAGTGACGGAGGAACGGCAATGTCAATGCTAGCGTCGTCCGCGTACTCATCCGAAACGTTGTCGTCACGTAAAGTGCTTGGACCAAGCGGCGAGGTCGCTGCTCCCGGAGATAACTCCGTCGCATCAGCGGCCAACGGTGGTGTCAGCGTAGCGAGAAGATCCCGCGTACTTTCCACTTCAAAGGTCTCATCATAGGCATCGTCGTCCATGGCGCCATTGTTCGAGTCCATCGGTGACACCGGCGGCATCTCGGGTGTTGACGACGATCCCATGGACGAGCTACCAGAACCGACCGCCAAGGCTATCGGGGCTTCTTCAGTGTCAGTGGCAATGGCGGTGGCGTCGACGTCCTGCGAATCCGACGGCAACTCGTCTTCGATGCTACCTGACGGAGGCGCCGAGCCGTCGGTGGACACGGGGGTCCCAGGCAACGCAATCGACGGGGGTGAGTCATCGTCGACGGCGTCATCGAGCGGCGGCGGGTTCACAAACTCCTCTGGTGCGTCGACATCGTTGGGCTCGCCCGCACCCCAAGCATCGAGCGACCGTGCAAATGACGTCTTGGAAGCACTGGCAACAAGTTCTTCGATCGAGTTTCGGCGCGAGTGGTCGTCAGCCACTGGTGTCGACCGTATCGCAGCGGCGTCCGTGTTGATGACGTTGGTTCCGTCGTCGGTGCGCGACGGCGAGACGACAGTGCGAGCCAGAGCGTCTTCAGTTGAAGGTTGAGGCGGCGCCACGTCGGTGGCTGCGTGCACGGGATCTGTCACGGCCTGCTTGGCAGTGTTTGAAGGCTCGCTCGAAGGCGTCGCTTGCACAGTGTCGTCGGTGCTTCGGACACTGCCATCGTCGGTGCCCAGCGGCGTGTATACATCACTTGCGCGGTCGTCGTGGGCGATGTCTGCAGGCACTGCCGTCTCGATTGCAGTCGTCTCCATCGGGTTGTCGTCCGGTGGTCGCATCTGTTGCTGCTCGTGTTGTGAAGCACCATCCATCCCAACAGTTGGCGCTTCTGCGGACGTGCTGGGCTTCTCAAAAGTTGTGCTCGACGGTGATGGCGACGTGCTTACTGCCAGCACTTCTGCATCGGTGCTGCCACGAGCGTCGAGCCCCACATGGCGTTCCATTGCTGGTACGTCGGGTATTGTAGCGCTGGCAACGGCGTTGTCCGTAACGAGAGGCTCGGTCGCTGGAGCCAGCACCAACAGCGCCGCGCTGTTGAGAGAATTTCCAGTCTC